GAGGAGGGAGGGGGGTGGACGGGGGGGGGGGGAGAGGGAAATGGGAGCAGTTTAAGTTTGAGTTAAGGGGGGCTTCTGAGTGAACAGATGCGGTTCTGAAGCATGCTGAATCAATTAATATTGTATATTTGTTTTTTTCATTTTATCTCTAGGAGGAAAAAGAGGACCAAAGACTCCAAGGCCTTGAAACGTCCATCAAATCGCGCTTATACATTTCTCTTCTACCCACGCACGTAAGTCGTGCGTGGAGAGAAAATCAAGAGGGGTGTATTTTCAGATGATACATATCGCTATTTATTTTTTTTATTGCACTTTTGGTGATATCATATGGAAGACAAAGCACAGAATACTCAAAGGAACTCTTTTTTTTATTGTAAAAACCACAGTGAAAGTTGATTACTCGAGCAACGAAGCTATGGTTCTTAAGATTTTTGTTCTTCGATCTCTATTCAAGAAGTAGCTGAAATAGTTAGCTTGAGTGCTGGGTGTACAATTATGTACTCAAAGAATATTTTTTTCGTCGCATTATTACCAGATCAGCGTTCATTTCCACTTACGCTCAGCTGAATTTTAGTGTGTGATAGATTTTTGTTTCTTAGGCATTTGTAGTGGAAGCGAGATGTGGAAGGTTTACTATGAACACCCTCTTGTAGCCAGTTCATGGTTGCTCATTTCTCTTTCAAGCACATGTATCTTACTGAGAGTAAAGAAAAGTCAGTGTATTGATTTCACTGTAGTGGTTAGCATTACAATTTTTCTTGAATCTTTGCTAATAAATTTTTTGCTCAAATGCTGGGTCTCGATAATAATTCATTTTCTCGATGCGTCATTTGACATCATTTACAAGATATGCTTTTGCTGATTCCTTACTGCGTTAAGTAATGCCACTGAGGTTTAATTACAGAGAAGAAGAATAGAAGAACAAGAGATCAATCTCCTTTACAGGATTCTGATAGTTGTACTCAGTTGATGCATAGTTAATTAGAGTGGAAGCCGGTTGGGAAACCCTTTATTATAGGTCTTGGTTAGCTTTTTTGAACCTGACCGTGCACAACGTTCAATAGCATTTCTAATATATAGATTTAGCCAGGGCTAAAAGCGAAGCTCTGGTTAATAATGCGTGTAAACAAAAAAAAATTAAATCGTGTAATGGTAAACGGGGATGACAATGAAAATGGCTTCAAGACTAATAGATCTAATTAGCAAAAAAACAAATTGCACGTGCAGCACACTTTTTCTTCTACTTAGCAAAAAACAAATTTGCACATGCAGCACGCTTTTTTGTCTTTCCCTTGTTGTTGTTTTGCACGACTAAAACGTCAAACTTCCTAGTTACACGTTATTTTTTAAGGAGGAATTGTCGTATGTGCTTACCCAATATTTTGTTTCCTGTGGTCATGTTCGCTTTTATTTTTCACTACCGCTCATTTTCACCTTGCCTGGCCGCTAGCATTTCTCATTTGCTCACCGCCGCTTTGAATTTCCATGTTTTTCTTCCTAGGAAATTCGTCTCCTTTGTTTTCAATTACTCGCTCTAGCTCTTTCTCTGTTATTCACGTTAGTGTAAACATAAAAAGATAACTCCGCAATAGACACGACTTTGTTGTTATTTTTTCTTTCTGAAAGTCCGGGCGACCATGTGATTTCCCTGTAAATAAAACCTTGAGTTGCATTTGGGTTACCATACCTGTTGATTGAGTTATTTTACATTGGTATGCTGTGGTGCGGACGGACGGTCGCTCGCTCGGTGTACGGTCACGTGATTACCAAATTTTCTCGGATGGGTAGATTACCACATTTTCTTAGCTATGGGGCACGTTTTTTATCATCCCTCGCAGTTCCTTTATCAGACTGAAGTATTTTTCGCAATGATAAATTAGCTCAGGAGCCTAATCGGCTCCCGATTAGCTATATTCGATATGATATGGCTAATTTATTATTGTAGACTGCAAAACAGTCCGTATTTCTGGTCTTTTTGCGTATTCAAGTACGCGCGAACAGTCAAACAAAAGGTCTCGGGCCACGCTAGTCTTACGCTACACTAAACCGATTCCGAGAAAAAAACTTACTGTTTTGCAGTCTATTATTATTGCGAAAAATTGAACGTTAATCAAATACAGTTTTACAGGTTTTTATATCAAGAAGAATTTTCATTAACATTAAATAATTGGGGTAATTAGGTAGATTGATCGTTTGCGTTTATTTTGTTACTTCCCTATTAGATCTAGAGAATATGGCGGGCAGCTCAGAGTGACGTGAGGGAGGGGTGGAACGCGGGAGTTATCCCCCCCACACCTCACTTCCCTTTTCATTTCCATTTCCCATCTGTTCGCGTTTTCATGCATTCTCTTCGTCTTTCCCACCAGAGAACTTGTTAGGCTGTAATTCAGGTTGACGTACAATTAGGGAGACCATTAGGAAATAAAACGACTTGAATTGCAGTCTTTTTTTTGGCGCCTAAAAAACTGACCAAAAAAATGCTCATTTTTTACCTTTTTTCCCATTAAACTTGCTTAAGCTGCGGCGTCCACTTGGAGATTGCACGTGATCCTGGATCGAGTTCTTACGTAATGATCGTCTGTCTGACTCCAGCTGAGTCTCTATACAAGTTCCCTAGTAGATAATTAATGAGTAGAGACAACTTGGAAGATGACTAGGGATGAGTTACCCTGGGTGCCAGCGTGGCTTCGGCCTACGGCCGAAGCTGTGTCGGCCTTCGGCCGACAAGTCCCGCCGCACGCGAGAAAAACCTCTGGTACCCAGGGTAGGGATGAGTCAACATTCATGCAACCATGCCTTTTCGACGGTCACGGTCTTCTGCACCGCGCCGGTATTGTATATTCGATTTTGGAGTTTGAACGGCTTGGCGTCTAAATTTTCGTACGGTTAGCGCACTGTGACTGAAACATCTAACACGAATTTTCAACCGGTCAAAAATTCATCGGTACCGTGTCAACATAGCCTAAAACGGAAATTATCATATTTGCTGATTGATTTACCTCGCGTGGAGTTCCTCGCCCCCAATTTTTTTTTTATTTTATCTATATGCGTATGTATATTTCCTTTTTTTACGGAGTAAAGTTGTTCGCCCTAAATGTTTTATACAGTACCGTCTGACTTTTGTGCAATACTCGCAAAAGTGTATACACACTCAGGAACTGAGACAAAACTAACGGCTGAGTCGGGGAACACTCTACAGGCTCATGACTAAGTCCATTCCACCCTTCACCTTGGTATTTGAGTCGGAAATTAAATTACTGCGTTTTTAAAATCATGAGTGATGTTCACGAGTGTTATATTTTGAATTGTATCATTGTATCTTTCCATCTTTTTTATTTTCGTCTTCCCTTAGCCACTCCAAGTTGTTACCTGTAATGAATTCTTTAAACTGAATGAATGGCATGTATTCACACTCGCCTTTGAGTGAGAGAAATCAAGTCCGTGGGATGTTTCACGCGGGGTAATCGTATATCACTCAAAACAAGAGAGACTCTCGGAAGCATTGCGTAAGTGGTATTTATATCTATTTGACTCTTTCTGAAATTTTGAATAACAATTACTATTATTATTATTATTTTTACTATTATTATTATTATTAACTATTATTATTATTATGTTCAAGTTTCACAGTACGTGTGCGTGTTTGCTGTACTGAATAGGGAAATTTACTAGGCGGAGTACTGCCAGTCACTCGGCTTCAATAGAGAGGTCTTTCAGAGCCTTATCGACGTTGTTCTTAACACATCCCAGCGATCCATTAATGATTGGAATAATTGTTACCCGCTTCTGCCATTATAATTAATAATAATAATAATGATAATGATAGATTTCTGCGGCATTAAAAAACAAAAAATTGGGTAGAGATCTTAAATCTTGTGATCCGAGTTTAACACGAAGACGTGGGTAACATGGGGAATTCAAAGATCCTCTAAAAGAGATCGTGCTGTAACAGTTTTGTCGGAAATTTAGTAGAAATATTTTTGAAGTTTCTAGAATATTCCCCAAACAAATATCATTACACAAGGTGTCGTCTCACAGACAAGTTTAGTAAACGTTTTTTTACCGAAACTTACGCCAAGGGAAACTCGTACGTGTTACATGATCATTTGACGGATGTATGCGTAATGTCTACCGGATATTGCGGCAACCTCCTGACAACTTGAGTGGTTATTCAATGATTCACGGATGTAAAAAAAACCTAAAAAGAATTTCTGGTAATTCGATGTGACCTTGGAACTCAACCCGCTGTTTGGGCTGGCGGGGGGGAAAGGTGGAGGGCACTCCCCTATTTGAATTAAACGGGAATGTGTTGCTAAACAGGACCACGACTTTTTGGCCTAGAATCCCTTAAAACAGTTTTAAAGTTGGCTATGAGCGGTCTATTTTTGTAGTACCAACAATTTTTCTCCCCACAAAAGCTAACTTGTGTAACTTTTCCAAGTTTCGTGCGTAAACAGTTTCAGAGTGTGAGCCGAAGCGGCACACTTGCTCTACCCAAACTTCCCTATAGTGTTCCCCCGGTCTTAAGTTTACGGATGTGTGGGTGGAAATCGCATTGATACTTCAATTAACTCCTACGTACTTAATTTGCCAGGGTAACACGATCTGCCCAGGGGGATCTCTGCCAGATCTACTGATTTTTCAGCCTACAAAAACGCACTGCGACATCGACTTCTCTCAGTCTTGCGCGCGCGAGTCTTCTCAACCATCACAATGAAGAGCAGTTTGTTAGCTTTGTTGCTCGTTGCTGTTGTGCTGTTTGTTGCAGTAGAGTCCCACAGAAGATTTCGCGGACTTGGTCGTAGACCTCCCAGGCGATGGAATAATGGAAAGCCAATGGGACAGTGGAATGGAAATCGTCGGAGATGGCACGGAGGAAATCAAGGTGGACATTTTCGACCACTGGGATGGAATCATGGAAAACCTATGGGACCGTACAATGGAAATCGCTGGAAATGGCAGCGAAGAAATCAAGGAAGACCTTGCGATCGGCGTAAGTTGATAAACCCAAAAAATATAAACAGTATAATGATGTATTCAGCTTGTACAAGATCAGGACATTTTCGTTGCTCTTTGAATGTTTTTTTGTTCTTAATAAATTTCGAGGATGAACTACTGTCACCCGCTTGGCTCAGAGGGGTGCATTTTTTTGTCCTTCTCACAAGTCAATGACCCTGCGCTCCGTAGGCACTGTTTCCCTTTGCAATTTTGCTGTCACACGAGTGTTTAGAAATTGAAACGAAAACAAAAAAGCAAAAAAACAAGCAAAAACAAAAACAAAAATTGAATTTTGCGAATGCAACACTATATGATCGCTTTTAAAATAGACACATTCCACAAAGATCCGTTTTCACCCGGGTGTTTTCCTCGACAGTACTAACTTTGCCTTAAGGCAATAGCAATAGGAACTTTGGACAGATCGCTTGGCCTTTTGTATTTTCGAGGGTGTTTTGCACGTGCGGGGCGGGCGTGCCAGGGCTAGGGAGAACGAAACTGTCTCTCTTTTGTCTTGTAAAGTATTGTACGTGAATAAGCCGAGTGGCGCGTAAAGCAAAAGACAGCTAACACCCTCGTTTCTCTAGTCTTTTGGTCCTGTCGCAACTGCTGCTAGTGGGGCTTTGTTGGCAGTCGCGAGTGGTCATGTTTTGATCCAGATCGCGTGTTTCATTCTAACTGATGTCATACTCCCAGTTGGTTAACCTCGTGATCGCCCGGGCGTGATCGTCAGTAATGACGATGCCATGGCTGCCCTGCATGCTCTGTATCACTTCCTATATTTTAACATGATCAGTTTCTATACTCCTCCTGTTGTTCTACCACAGGTAACCCAGGCTTACTAGAGAGAAATAGTTGTTGCGTAACAGAAAAATTGTATGGGGTTTGTTTGGGGATTTCAGCGATCGTTATTAGGGGTCAAAAATAGAAATAAAAATACATCAAAATTTCTTACTTTGTCTCCTTGTTTTGATTATGGTGTGTTCTTAGCATTTTTGGCCGCTTTGGGGCAGTTTCAGCGAATTTTAGTTCTGTCGTTGTTCTCAATGAGCGAACAATTCGCCTAAACTTAATTTTCGATTCAACCCCAGAAAATTTCACCAACATTTGACTTATTAAATGAAACTGAATAAGACTGATGAAGTTTGAAACAGTGCGAATTCACTTTTTTTTTCAGTGAGTGTTTTCGGTTTGTTGTCATCCAGCAGCCTCGCCCTAGGGACGAGGTTGGTCATTCAGAAATTTTGCTACCATGGCAACGTGACGTAACGACTCCTCTCTATTGGCCAGGGGATCAAAGCCAGTCAGAAAGGGCGAATTTTTTTTGAATATAGGATAATTATTTTCATTGTGTTTATACTTAAGGAAAAACGTTCATACACGAGAGCAGGAGTAACCCTTCTGGGGGCTGGGTGGCTCGTTCTGTGCCTCCTCACTACTTGTGACATCTTCGTTTAAAATGATACAAGACTCGCAGGACAAAGACAAATTTCTTATTGTTTGTTCAACTGTATATCCTTACCTAATGTGTTTTTAGTTTCAGAGCGTCCTAGAAACTGTTCTGACTTCTTCGATGGAACCTGCGTTGCTTGTGATGATCAATTTGTGTTGAAAACATTTAACTTTCCTCGATGTAACAAAACCATCTGCGTGCCCTGTTGGCGTCTGAAATGGAGAAATCCTGATCTGTATCGTCAACAGTGTGAACGTAACACCACAGGTAGCCGACGGACCATCTAATTTATGATAGGAAACCTTAGGGCCAGTTGTTTAAACAGAGTTTAGCCTTTGTCAAATAACAAAACCACGTTCTAAGCCATTTTCAATTTTCCGCAACGCTTCTATCTAAACACCAGTTATCGCGAACAATTTCAATAAAGTATATACCGTAGACTGAAAAAGCACTTATTTTCTTAAACTAACCCACTAAGAAAGAGATGTAGAGATTCAATGATTTCTTAAACCGCGGCCTAAGTTAGACTTTGTTTAAACAGTAACTGGCCCTTAGATTCTAAGACGCGCACGGCTAGTATTTTCTCAAGACTAATAAAGGACGCCCAAAACAAAAACCATCACCATCTTGGCGGGAAAACGTGGTAGCCGTCGTAATTCTACTTCGGGTTTTCGCCAAAATTTCGAAGTGACGAAAACAAGTTTTAAAATGTAAGAAGATATATCATATTGTACTTGTTAGAGGACTTGGCCTTCTTCAATAAAAATAACCGTGTTAACTTTTCCGGTGAAAAAAAGTTGAATGAAGCTTTGATTGAAGGAGGTCTAAATTTCGTCCTCGTCCTCAAAGGTCTCTAATTTGAACTTTTAGGAGAACGAATCATGATTCTTGTCGTCGCTTACGGGCGGTTTAAAACAAACTGTTAAAACAAGTCTCGCCGACCGTAAGGCTGGTATTTTTTACAAGTTGTCTCCAAAGAGAGGTGGTCTTGTGTCAACACAAGTAGCCCAAGCTAACTGTCAACAAATAAACAAAGCATTGGAAATCACATTCTTACCTCACTTAATATGTGAAATTTCCTGACGCTCCGTTTACGTTTTTGCCTCACTGCAGCACGTTTCAAGTGTCCCCGTGGTTGTGTGAACTGTAGCAGTCATGGAGTGTGTACTGAATGTAAACCAGGACTGAAGCTGTACAGCCCACCAAACAGCAACATTACCAAATGCGTGTCGAGTGAAGCCAAGCAAAACAAGAGTGGTGAGTATAATATTTTGGTCTATCTGACAACTCTGAGGTTAAACCCTATCCAGCCAGTTCTTGATTCTTACAGACGCTGGAAACTTGAATCAAATAAATAGATTTATTTGACTGTCAGGCTGTGTATCTGAACGCTAGTAACGAGGTATTTTGCATTACGTTTTGTCAATTAAGAGACTCAAGAGGCAACGTCAACATTTGTTGAAAAAATGAGTTCCAGCCCTCCAGGGCGTAGGAAAAAAAAACTTGATTTCTCATCGAAACAAAAGCAATTTAAAGAGATGTCTTTTCCTGCTATTCATTTTATAGCTTGTGGAAAAATGTGTATGGAATGCTCAGAATCTGGTGTTTGCTTAAAATGCATTGAGCCTCTGGAACTCATTCAGATACCAGTGGTAAAAGGACTTTCGGATCCCGAATACAAACGAACTATTTGCGGAAAACCCGGCTTCTACAAAGGTAGGTCAGCGCTCGATAAAAGTCTTTTTTCCCCCAGCAAAGAAAACACAGGAGTCAGGGGCTGATTGTTCCATATCATGTCTGCCGTTCTGAGTCGACGTGTCTCTGTATGTGTCACTTTTAAACTCCCCACGTGTTAAAACAGGAGGATTTTATATGTACGGCGAAGAAAAATAAAGGGTAGGAATTGTTAGCGTACATATGGGTTGTTATTGTCAATGTGTCGTTACAGTTTTGGCGGATGTCATGATGATATCCGTTTCGTAGTTGTACAGACCAGGGACGTAGCCAGAATTTTTCTAGAGGTACGCACAATTTGCTTTGACTGTAATCACTGTATTACCACTGATCTTTTTGCAGGGAAAACTAGAAAAGGAGGAAGAAACCCCGGCGTGTTAGACGTTCCTCAGTAGAAAAAGCTGATTTTCCTTTAATAGTGGAAATACCTGGACCAACTCAAGAGAGTTTTTTATATTGTACTGCGTAACACGTTTTTACTATTAAAGCAAAAATTTATACTAGAATTATTTTTTTATTTTGCCTCGCGTCTCGTACTCTCGTAGAGCGTTAGTTACATTGTTTCGTTGAAACACCTTGGCTATATATACGCGAGAAAAACGAATTATAGTGCATTTCCACTGTCGCGTAATTTTGCTTACGTTTGTGCGCAAATAAAGTTTATGAAAGGTCGCGTTTAAACGTGAAAGTCAAAACTCGCTCAACTGTAACGTTTACACGCGTAAAATATTCGTGTGTACGCGGCAGTGGTAATCCATCTTAAGATGCGTTTTAACCCTTTAAGCCCCAATATTCACATACAAATTCTCCAAACTGATCTCTATACATTTCCTTAAAGAATGTGTTGAGAGAATTTGATAAAAGATCAAAGCATTTTCTCTTAGGTGATCAATTTATTAATTCTTATAACCTAATCTCTGGACAATCTATGGATATGGTTAGGAGAAAATTGATGTTGGTCATGTGTAAAGTCATGTGTTATCTTTAGAGGCGAGAACTATTTTTGTACCATTTATGCTAGAAGTTCGCGTCTTTTTTTCCCCGTATATACAACACTTTTGTGGCACAAAGTACATGAACCACGAACTTTCACATAATATAGAGGGATGTGTTTATCCAAGTAGTTAACGGTATAACGTATTGTCAAGGGGAATTTCAAATCGTTGTAGAATGCGTGAAGCGAAACTTGCAAGAAGTTCGACTCCTACCGCCACGGACTTCAATATTGCGTATATTGGCGTGGGTATCTTCATCTAATGAACAAATCATTTTAATGGATTTGTAATCTTTAGTTTAGTTAAATCCTAGATCGGAATGTGTAACTTTGCATTGTGAAGAATAAAGTCAAGTTAAAATGAAAGTCTATGGTCCAAGATTTCTTATCCATTGTGTGAATAGCTTCTCTCTAAACTGACAAAGTGATCAATTTTGTGAAAGTTACTCCTTAGGCATGCACGTTAGTAGGTCATGTGACCAGTTTGCATAAAACTTTAAACTATAGAGCCATATAATTGTCAGAAATGGAAAGAGTCGTATGTTTGAGTTGTCCCAAGCCTCTGTTTTAGTTCTAGCATAGGTATCGAAGCCTTTGATACAGAAATATATTTTGTTCTCATGTGAAAGGTTTTAAACATAGCTTCACTTCAAGGTGAGGCTTTTGGGAACTCGGCAAGTACCCAAATTTTGAGACCAATGCCATAATTTCATGATGGTGTAGACTGCAAAACAGTCGTTTTTTTTCCTCAAAATCAGTTAAGAAATCGGTAAAGGTTGCTGTAAGAGTCTTGCGCGCGCGAAGCGTGCGAGCCTCACACGCCCAGACCTTTTATTTGACTACTCGCGCGTACTTGAAAACGCAAAAATACGGACTGTTTTGCAGTCTATGATGGTGAGATTTTGTACAGTCTTTAACCCTTACCTTGTCTATGACCACAGATGTATGTCTGGTAGTCACTTTGACTTAATATGTCAGTCTGCTTTCGCAGCCTAGTAAGGCCTTGCCACCTAGTTAAATTTTCTATGATAAATAAGTCATATATCAGGGTTGGGTCGTTTTTAAAACTGGGTTAAGGTAACTGAGGGTAGGAGCAAAATTTGACATCAGAAATGAAAGCTTAAAAAGCAAATTCTGTTTCATTCTTTTTATCTACCATTTGATGATTATATGCTCTAAAGCAAACAGAGAAAATTATCTAAGCAAATGCTTTTGAATAAAGGGAAAAGAACCGGGATAACCTGTGAGCGAGCTCTCCTATTTGGGCAAGCGACGTGAGCCTCGTGAGAACGCGCGAGTGAGGGGCAAATAGGAGAGCTTGCTCGCAGGCTAGAACCGGGATTAAAATCTAACCCCAGGTAAGCTCTAATGAGACTATGAACAGCTGGGCCTGGCCAGGCGTTTCTGAGAGATAAAGGGGAGAGAGAAGATTTAAATCCCTTTCTTCCCCCTCCCCTCCCTCCCCTCTTCAGCCTTAGAAGCCCCTCTCCCCTAGTCCCTAAGAGGCCTGATACTTAGGTAAATCATTTTAAAAATCTCCTATAAAATAGAGAAACCGCATTCGGCAACCGTAGTCATTTCTACTCCTGAGATATACTAAAAACGCCCGAAAACGTGCGTGTCACCTTAATGTTAAATACTCTTGCGAAAAATATTTTTCTAAAAGTTTAGAAAAGTTAATCACGTGACCAACTGTTACTGAAGGGCTATCGATACTGCCCCCGACCTCCATATAAAAGCCCGCTGGTGAATGATAATGAGGCTGTTTCACAACGTCAACAGCGTAATTTGAGGTGCGTTCATGTTGTGAACAGGTAAGGATTCATCTTTATCATTGTTCGTGAACGGCTAAAGACCATGGCGAAGAGATCTTCAAGCTCCACCGCCAAGTTTAAAGCGCCTAGTTTTGCTCCAACAATGTTGTTGTTTTTTCCTCCTTTGGTCTTCCTGGGTACTCTCTATCAATTCCATAATGAACTATCAACCCATCCACAATATTTGGAAGCCTTGGAATCGTGATAAGACGCAATTCATAACAGCTTCACGGGATTCTTCTCCTCGTACAAGTGATGCGTGGCAGTGTCACTTCGAAGAACTCGACTGGGTGTTCGCTCCACTGTTGTTTTGATGTCTTTTAGCGGTTGTCTTGTACACACAATCACAACGAGCCATAACACAACAAACGAAGCAAACAGGACGAAAGAAACGTCAATAGCAGTGGCTAAATCAAGCGGCATGTCTTGAAATAGTCGTACAAATGGGAGCACCGAGTAGTGTGGTTGGAGCGGTCGCCAAGCGAACGATTATTGCGTGACATCAGTTTATTGAATATTTTTTAAGATATGCAATAAATATAAATAAATATTCTAAATAAATAAATAAATATATAACAAAAATTAGTCAAGTTAAAATGAAAGTCTATGGTCCAAGATTTCTTATCCATTGTGTGAATAGCTTCTCTCTAAACTGACAAAGTGATCAATTTTGTGAAAGTTACTCCTTAGGCATGCACGTTAGTAGGTCATGTGATCAGTTTGCATAAAACTTTAAACTATAGAGCCATATTATTGTCAGAAATGGAAAGAGTCGCATGTTTGAGTTGTCCCAAGCCTCTGTTTTAGTTCTAGCATAGGTATCGAGGCCTTTGATACAGAAATATATTTTGTTTTCATCTGAAAGGTTTTAAACATAGCTTCACTTCAAGGTGAGGCTTTTTGGAACTTGGCAAGTACCCAAATTTTGAGACCAATGCCATAATTTCATGATGGTGTAGACTGCAAAACAGTCGGGTTTTTTCTCAAAATCAGTAAAGAAATCGGTAAAGCGTGCCGTAAGAGTCTTACGCGCGCGAAACGCGCGAGCCTCACACGCCCAGACCTTTTGTTTGACTACTCGCGTGTTCTTGAATACGCAAAAATACGGACTGTTTTGCAGTCTATGATGGTGAGATTTTGTACAGTCTTTAACCCTTACCTTGCCTATGATCACAGATGTATGTCTGGTAGTCACTTTGACTTAATATGTCAGTCTGCTTTCGCAGCCTAGTAAGGCCTTGCCACCCAGTTAAATTTTCTATGATAAATAAGTCACATATCAGGGTTGGGTCGTTTTTAAAACTGGGTTAAGGCAACTGAGGGTAAGAGCAAAATTTGACATCAGATATGAAAGCTTAACAAGCAAATTCTGTTTCATTCTTTTTATCTACCATTTGATGGTTGTATGCTCTAAAACGAATAGAGAAAATTATCTAAGGAAATGCTTTTGAATAAATAGAAAGGAAACCAGGATTAAAATTTACCCCCAGGTAAGCACTAATGAGACTATGAACAGCTGGGCCTCGCCAGGTGTTTCTGAGAGATAAAGGGGAGAGAGAAGATTTAAATCCCTTTCTTCCCCCTCCCCTCCCTCCCCTCTTCAGCCTTAGAAGCCCCTCTCCCCTAGTCCCTAAGAGGCCTGATACTTAGGTATATCATTTTAAAAATCTCCTGTAAAATAGAGAAACGGCATTCGGCAACCATAGTCATTTCTACTCCTGAGGTATACTAAAACGCCTGAAAACGTGCGTGTCACCTTAATGTTAAATACTCTTGCGAAAAATATTTTTCTAAGAGTTTAGAAAAGTTGATCACGTGACCAACTGTTACTGAAGGGCTATCGATACTGCCTCCGATCTCCATATAAAAGCCCACTGGTGAATGATAGTGAGGCTGTTTCACAACGTTAACAGCGTAAATTGAGGTGCGTTCATGTTGTGAACAGGTAAGGATTCATCTTTATCATTGTTCGTGAACGGCTAAAGACCATGGCGAAGAGATCTTCAACCTCGACCGCCAAGTTTAAAGCGCATAGTTTTGCTCCAACAATGTTGCTGTTTTGCTTCCTTCGGTCTTCCTGGGTACACCCTGTCAATTCCATAATGAACTATCAACCCATCCACAATACATTAGCAAGCCTTTGAAACGTGGTAAGACGCGATTCATAACAGCTTCACGGGATTCTTCTCCTCGTAAAAGTGATGCCTGGTAGTGTCACTTCGAAGAACTCGACTGGGTGTTCGCTCCACTGTTGTTTTGATATCTTTTAGCGGTTGTCTTGTACACACAATCACAACGAGCCATAACACAACAAACGAAGCAAACAGGACGAAAGAAACGTCAATAGCAGTGGCCAAATCAAGCGGCATGTCTTGAAATAGTCGTACAAATTGGAGTAGTGTGGTTGGAGCGGTCGCCAAGCGAACGATTATTGCGTGACATCAGTTTATTGAATATTTTTTAAGATATTCAATAAATATAAATAAATATTCTAAATCAATAAATAAATATATAACAAAAATTAAAAAAAAGAATACTAGAAATAACAAGTTTTGAGTTATTTTCGAATTTGGGAGATATTTCTGACTATGAGACAAGAAAAGGATGTGTGACCAATTTTTCATTTAGTCGGCTAACAGCTTGCTTCATGTGTGACGTCTGTACTTCTTTTAATGTCACGCAATGAACAATGCTGCATCACTATTCTCCATTGTCGTGCTTGTTGCTGTTTGTTTTGTACTTTATTTGGTTTGTGAAATGGACTGTTTGTTCTTTTTCTGGCTTAAATTCCAGACTTAAGCCCGATTTCATCTTAAGCTAACATGGAATAATGGAAAGATGGACGAGCAAGGTCAGCCAAGATTTCTAAGGCGTAAAATTCTGCGCAATTCGTTATTTATTTTCGTTGGTTTCATTCTCATTGTTCTTTGCTTCATCTTCCTGGGAATCGCGGAGACCTATCATAGGACAACTTGGAAAGAATGTAGTCAATGCCATGGAGAGAAGAAAGCAAGGACTTTTCGACTTGTTGCCGCGATTTTTTTCGTATTTGGGTTTACGATTATGACAACATTTTGGTGGCATTTACGTGCGATAAGAAGTGCATTTCTTGTGCAGCAGCATCGTTTGGAATTGGACAGATTGTTAGGAAATCGTGAGCTGCCGATCAGGCGAAGAAGACTATCACATCGAACCTCATTGGGATTGAGGAATAGCGGTTAATACACTCGCAATTTACAGAGATTCATTTCCGTGGTGTTTAGGGTACTGGTCGTACGTTGACGGCGATTTCGTGACATTTCCCTTTTCTTGTTTGCCAACCAACTTTGCGCACCGCTGCAAATGAAGTGAAGACAGACAACAGATCTAAAGTTCCTTTTATTTCCATAGAGCATCGGTTAGTAGGGTCATGAACCGAAGAAACAAACACGCACCTAAACAATACTTCGCTGTTGTGGAAAAGAGAATTCATAAAATGCACTTATCATTGTTGCATAATCAACAACAACAACGCTTTATTGGGCATTTACACACGTATTACATGGCATTACCTGAGTAAGAAAAGGTAACAATTATTTCACATCATTTCGTCTTAAATAAAGCTTCTTGTCTACTATTCATTATTTGAAAAGTAAAAGCAGAAATAATTAAATCTACATATAAACGGATCATTATTAATAAAAAGGAATAATCAAATTATTTTTAATTATGATCAAAGTTATTTTAAAAAGCAAGGATACCTAACATACATATCTCGGCTTTATAGAGTTTCGCTGTTTTATTTGTTTAATTACTTCATTTATTTTCTTTTTTTTAAGACTTACATTTTCTCTTTTTATTTTGCATAAAAGTGTATGCACAACTGAAAGTTTTTGATGATCATAATTTTTAAATCCCGTGTTTTAAAGGCCAAGTATTATTAAAACCGGGATTCATCCTAATCACTGAGTGATTTTTAAAAGCCGTTTGCCATATCCTCCACTTTTCGTCCAAAAAAGAAAGGAAAAAAAGTATCAAATTAATCGAAAAGTGCAACAGATAACGTAAAAATAGATAGAACGGTGGAATAGGAGGAGGAAAAACTTTTCACCTACACGATTCCGATCTTGTTGCAAAACGAAAAAGAGGGGGATGAGGAAACACACTCTTAATGGGTATGGCCTTACTTTATAACTACTGAAACAACAACAACAAAAGCAACAAGAAATTCTTACTCCATATCCTTGTTTAGGAAACTCATGTTTACAGAAAATGTACTGACATGACTGAGAATTTTAGCGATTCGATTCTCAGTAAATAGGCTTTTATATTTTTGACAATGGACCTCTTTTCTCTTAGATCACAAAAAGCAAACCCTGATGCTTATGAGTAAATCACATTGATTCTTATATTTTCTTCTATGTCATTTTTTCAAATCCAGTTTAAAATTATTGAACCTCGTGATCTCTCGCGCGATTTTTAGTGGATGCGAGTTGGCAGCAGGTCAAGCGCGAAAGGAAATAATCATCTCAAATTTCAATCTCGTTGTCAGACGGCTTCAAATCGAGCACTTTCTTTTTGTCTGCTATTTGCATGCCGTTGCCCTTTGTTTGGGAAAGTGATCATCAGAGAGCAGCCAATTTTCAGGAGAATGAGCGGATCGTACCAATGATTTTCCGCTGGATGCTGTCAAATCGTCGTTCGTCGATGTCTAGAAATTTCTGATCTGATTTTTTTTACTGTGATCGGGCACGTCGTGGCCACTGACTGCAGCTGCGTATCTCAAAGAATGTTTCTCGACGATCACGAATTGGCCATCTATATTGCTGCTGGTCTAGCAGGATTCCTTATAGTATTGTGGTGTTTGGCTATTTTGTGTAAAGGACCTTGCCGATCGTTCGACGAACCGGTCAAGTCGCCCTTTGAGATGTACATGGACCCTGCTACAAGGAATCAAGCTTTACAGACCAAGTACGAACTCTACCACTATCATCTTATGGTAAGTAGAATTTATCAAGCCCCTGTCCTTTTGAAACAAACCGAATTGTGTTCATTCGAAAATTGACATGTCACTGTTTTCACAAAATAAATGTAATGAATTGACTGCATGACTAAAGCAATGCATATGCGCGCCTCATGGTTATTTTTCGTGTGAAGTTCATATGCAAAAGTTATTTCGTGGGAGAGAATGCAAATTTTCCCATTGTGGTGAGGAGCGGTCGATGTGCAGTTTCGACGGAGTAAAAACCTTTTTATAATGAAGAAAAAAGCAGACTACATTTTCAAATTGAACATCGCATCATCAGTAAGCTTGTTTAATCTGAACTGCTCCTGGAGCCACGACCTAAAATAAAAAGGTTCAATAACTTATATTTATTCGTATTAAATGCTGCTAATGCTTCCTTCTTTAAAATGTAAATGAGTTGTTTCAAGCTTCCAGCGGCTTCTTCATAGTGTGATTGTCTATGGAAATGTGCTATTAATAGGTTTTTAGGCTTGAGTTGCTTAATCGAGGTAGTATTGCTATTTTGGGGTCACTGTATACATTTGTTATCTATGAAAAATATCAAAGACTTACTTGAAACAATTGATTCATATCTCTCTCTATATAAACTGTTTCACTTTTGTACATGTACAGAAATTATTTATGGCTGTCTGTCTACTGAACATGAAGCACAGCCGGCAATATGTGGGCATGATATTGGTTTAGTTGGCCCATTTTTAAGCAACAGAAACGTTTTCCGTGTTGTCATAGCCTTTTTTAACACGAGACGGGTTGGGAGAATTCGAGACAGTTATTCAAACCCAAGACGAAATGCTCCCAATCCGTCAAGTGTTTATATCAGGCTATGCAAATACAGAAAAAAAAAAATTTTCTATTGGTTTTATAAATTAACTTTCCTGAGAAAAAACGCAAAACTCATTGCTATGGCACTGGTACTTTTAAAAATCGGCTATTGAATCGTCCCAAATGCATTTTAATTGTACTGTAGTCTAAAAACAATACAAGAACAGGTTCAGCTTATCAATGTCAAAGAAAGACACATGTCATAGGCATTTACATTTCTACATAAAATTTACAAAAGAGTGGTCCTATTAAGGGGGTGAAATTAGAAACAATTCTAATGTTTGGGATTTTAAAATGTGGCCATTAATAATCATATTAATGGGTGACTGCATTAACAAGAGTTTTTTTCTATGAAAATGTATGGTTGTTTTGCCGGGCCCCAAAAAATGGCCATATTAACAAGTTTACTGTATTACCGAGGTGGCTGCAAGGCGGGGTTTCTCTGCATATTTACCCAGGGCGTGGGATGAAAACTTTGAGCTAATGCTGATTCATCAAGATGCTTTTTTAAGCCCAATAACATATTTAAATGGCAATTGTTTTTACACCCCTTCCCATGCCTCTGCATTCCAATACTTCTTGGGCAATACTTCTTGGGGGAGGGGGGGGGGGGGCCTCTTTAAAACTGGTGAAAGTGGAAAATACCATTATCTTCTAAAAACTGCTGCTTTGATGGTGACTACATTATCTTTGGTTCTTTGCATAATCTGCTCGTACAGTATATGCTGATTGAAAAGAAGCTTATGCATTGCACNGTCTCTTTACAACTGGTGAAAGTGGAAAATACCATTATCTTCTAAAAACTGCTGCTTTGATGGTGACTACATTATCTTTGGTTCTTTGCATAATCTGCTCGTACAGTATATGCTGATTAAAAAGAAGCTTATGCATTGCACATGCCAATTTTTGTAAAGAACACAAGATATAGCAAAGGTCGGGGGTTACATCGAGCACCACCCAAATGAGAATGTAAAGAATACTTTGTTATTTTCCACTTTGGCCAACTCTGCAACCCATCAACCCCTTATCTACCTGCCTAGACCATGGTTGGTTTGTTTTTGTAAACATGTACATAATGTAGTGAGTTTTAAAGACCTATGCCCCCTCCCCAGCAGTTATATCAGTATTCACAATGTAAAAAGCAGTAGAGGGAAATGAAGAACAATGGTGATGAAGGTAGGGGTTTCTTTACTCTGGGGTTAAAGCTGCCTATTCCTGGGGCGGTGCCATTATTCAAGGGAGACGGTCTTTTGAGTAAATATACAGCTATTTCGAGAGAGGTTGTGGGAAAAAGTGCTCGCGACAATCCAAAAAGGTATTGTGGGTGGTTTTTCACTGTTCTTCAAAGAAATTTGCAAGAATGGCACTAGAGACCATGAACTTATGTTTGCGATTGCTAAAGGAAAGCAACAAATGTAAGTTCGACAGCTACAGCGCCAGGCACTGCGTATAGATCATATCCCATATCACCTTTCAGGATTGTCGCGTGAACATTTTTTCCGAAAACCTTTCTCGAGATATCTGTATATGGTACCATACAACTCATTGCTAACTGCCATAAATTGTCTTTAGACACCAAAAACACCAGTTGAACGCCATGAAATCAGGGTCCCCGCACAGGTGACGGAAGCAGGTGGACCAACAACAAGCGCATTTGATTTTGGAGCTGTATTGCGCATGCACTCTATGGACAAGGCAAACGCTCAAAATGGACGCCAAGCAAAATATCCGCTTTTAACAAGGGAACAGGGAGACCAGGGAAGTTTGTCATCTGATACGACAGGTGGTGAATCTAGAAATATTTACAAAGTTAATGTGGATATAGAGAGTAACAAAAAAGAAGAAACAAGTGTTCCTCTTATGATGGATAGTAACGTGTGACCATCAGCACACATGCACAGAAAAATGAACAGAAAAAATTATATGTACAAAGACATGCCCATAGAGAAGAATGAACTATTTAAACGAAAACGAGATTTCTATTATTGATATTTAGTTAGGAAAAACGAAAGTTAAAAATCAAACGGTTAGGATGAACAAGAGTTTTGGACCACCAACAAACAAGCCTGACACAGGAACGAAAAATAAGCTAAGTTGTGCCATGCAGAGTGTAATAAAGTTAGGTCGCTGCTTTAGAAAGAGCTGCTGGATAGTTTTGAGAAACTTTTCGGCTACTTTGCTACTAGCTAGAATGCTAGATTGACACTCAGGAACGCGTGAGTGATGGTTGTCGCTTTTATAAGAATTGTGAGTAAAAGGACATAAAATCTGAGTGTTTGCCTACAAATTTAGCTGCTTTGCAAAAGTTTCTAAAAGGCTCATCTACACGCTTAGCATTCTTATTTTCCCCCTTCTAAACTAGTCTGTGTTAGCAAGTGGCCCGGGCCAAGAGCAAGGCGTGAAAGTTCTCGGTCCAACTGTCGTGCCCTGCCAGCTGGCGTCTAAACTTTGGGGAATCCAAATCCGGATCCTTGAATTAAAAAAACGAATTTTGCGGTTTTCTAGGGAAACTATAACAATGCATGAATGTAAAGAATTCATCACACTCCGAAAGGATCCAGCACAACAGATGCAAATTTGGATTTTTAGGATTCGTGATCCACGGAACCGAAAGAAGTACACAAACTAAACCGGTTTTCCTGTGAAAAAAAAAAAAGGCTCGGTAGGTCTCGCGGGATTGGCTTGTTTTTAAAAGATCTTTGGCCCTGTTTATGTGGACATGAGTTGTTTTAAGGAAGAGGGTTGTCATACTTCCAGCGGAGTCAACTAATGCGGGCGTCAGTATGAGAAAAATTTGATTGCTTTGTTGGAGCCAAGAGCGCCCGCACATGTTCAGTCTCTTGTTGACCGTTGGTGGAAAGTTGGCCCGGTGTTACAGTCATTCCCATTCCCAAAACCCCTAGTGATATGAGGGGCATCCCCTGTAATCCTAACCCTAACCGTAACCCAAATCGCTAAGGTAATACGACAAGAGGATGCCCATATCACTAGGGTTTTGGGAATGTGGATGCCCAAAACGCGGGATGCCCATATCACTATGACTCTGGCTAGGAGGGTGACCTTACTATCGAAGAGGGCAAACCTGGCTAGGCAAGTAACCCTCCTGTCCGAGCCAACCTTTGTTTCTCATGTAAACTTTAATTCCAAAGATTTGCGAGGATTTTAGGAAAAGTTAGCTTGCCCAGTCTTGCTAATATAGGAGAAATACTCTGTTTATCCGGGACAGGTTTTCTCCTATAAACCGACAGAGCCTAACTTTGGATTCTCCCAAAATGAAGCTCGTAAGGTGCGGGATTGCAGAAAAACACCTCATCGTTATTTGCATCTCATAAAATAGCAAAAGAATTTAGCCCGTGCGGCGGGCGTTTGAAAGGGAACAGAAAGGGGATTCCGAGCGCACAAGAAGCGCGAAAGTCGCGCGTGATCTCGCGCCGAAATCCCCCCGGGGGGGGGGGGCAAATTCCCTTCCCCTCCCCTTTCGAACTCTTGCCACGCAGCTTACGAAAGAATATCACCACTCATCACAACAGCGAGAGAGTATATTCTAGCTCATTCTCTCTTGCACAACAGCACATTCGCTACATGCCTCGTTCTTTTAAGCACTGAATTAAGTTTGCGCAATCCACACCTCTTTTCCTTAAGATAATTTGCGAATCTGCACAGAGGAAAATTGTGCTATCAAAAGTTGATAGTGTGTCTACTGATTTTGAAAGCTAAGGACAGGGGCGGATCCAGGATTTTTTTTAGGAGGGGGTGCACTCGTCTCCCCCTGCACCCTCCCCCTGGATCCGCCCTTGAAGGAGCTCGAAAATAGCTGTCAAATGGCCTGCTGAGGTGCAGTGGTATCACCAACTAATACCTTTGACTTGTGTTGAATAAACTTGCTGAGTGAGAAAAATTATGTGTTGTCTTCTGGGTTCACCTGATTTTGTCTCCCATAAGTATTTGACATTAGAGAGCTTATGCCGCCATGAAACCGACGGTAGCGGGAACGTCGAGAAAGGAATAGGTTTACGAAGCAAAACGACAACTGTGCACCTTCATCACACTTTTTAGGTATATTTCAGGGGCACCCAACGTCAATTTTCGGAATATATCTGTTCGGAAGACGATTTGAGATCTAGAATTTTTTCGGAACATTTGTTGTAAAATTTCTTGCTTGCCTGCTTCCCCTGAGATTTTCTAACATCTGAAAAATGGTATAATTGCCCATTTTTAAAGGATTTGTACCCGAAAAAGGTCACCTAGAATTTTCGGAAGCCTTTTTTCTGGCTGAAATTTTCGAAAAGGTGAGTTTTGATCCCAATAATTTTCGGATCACTAGACTTTAAGCTAGGAAATCCCAACAGATGAAAAATGTTTAGGGGATAAAGGTATGCCAATATCTACCGTTTAAATACTAAAATACATTTAACAATGCTATGTTTAAGTGTTTTTTCACTATACTCTCGTTGGATGCCCCTGATATTTCTCTAACTGAACATTACATGTGAGTCACGCATTTTTGTACTCCGTCACTGCACGACTACGACGTGAAAATGCCTAATTTCACGTTCTGTGGAGGACGTTAACACAAGACAACGACTTTCTTTTTCTTTTCCTGAACTTTGATACAGTCTTTTAGGCTTCAACTCCAGAAAAAATTGCAAACATTGGCGAACTGAACGAGATGGAATAAGTTCAAGTTTGAAACAGCTCGAATTCCCTTTTTAAGTGACGTTTTCGTAGCCGCCGCCGTGCGTCTTGGCTCAAAAGGATCTTATATTTTTGGGTATCATATATAGTGCCAAATTTCTGCCAGCAAGTTCTTATTAGGGGGTGGTTACTGAATATACAGCTCCAGGAAAATTGGCCTCAATTGGAAAATGAGTGGGTAGACTAATCATTATAAAAAAGAAAACGATATAGCAGGGTCCGAAATTAACTTTTTAATATGGGCGCCAACTGGTGAGCAAGTATAAATTTTTGTTCGGCAGAGGGCAAATTATTTTCGCCAAAAATTCCCCTTGGTGGCTTGGAAACGTTCAACTCGTATTGATCGTAGCTGTTGTGGAGGTATATTTACAGGAAGATTCGTTTCACTTTTAAATTAAAAAAATATCACCAGGACAAAAAGTAAGACACCTGTTGGCAAAGAGCTTCGAGGTTTCAATTCTTAATCATTTTCTCCGAGCATAAAAGTCTACAATAACAACCAGCTTTACAAGTCGCCAGCTGGCAACCAGCTATGAAATTCTGGTCGCCAGAACTGAATTTTTGGTCGCATTGGCGACCAGCAAGGCGCAATTTCGGACCCTGTATAGGTAGTTACTTTGCAAATGTCTTTTTCCCTGCTGTCGCCATCGTAGTTCGCCGTCTCTAACAGCTTGGAACCACGAAGCTTTTGATTGGCTTTCCGCTAGCGATTTAAGCGATGTATTCCTCTACCCCCTAGTCTGCTTCACAGCCGTGACGACAATAAAAACGGCTGTGTAGCAGACTATCTACCCCCGGGTTTCCACTTGACTCTCTAAAATCGCAATGGATCGGGAAAATAACCACACAGCAGGCAAGAACAACCCAAATAAATAAGATAAGTGTTTTATTTTGAAAATTTCAGCGAGTATTTAAATTTATCTTCATGAATCTATTACCTGAATTCCAGGCCTTCATGTTCACGGCCATTTTGAGGATAGCGCAACGTGAAACAACAGTGACAGCACATGATGTTAAACTTTTTATAAGCTCTCATACGTCGTACTGATCTTGGGTTGCCTGTGATATGAACACTCTAGTATTGACCGCATTCATTCCTCAGGGCTCAAAGTTGAAGGAGGATTGTTAAGCTATGAAGCCACCTTTAATTTTCAACTGCGCAAAATTTCTTTACTAAATGTTTCAAAAAGTTTACTTAAAACGTTTTAAGTGTTTGGAAAGTGACCCGGGGGTCAATACAATAAATAACATAAAAATCGGCACGCTAAGGTTGCTACTTGACTGTACCGTTCAAAGGTTATTGCCAATACACTGTTAGTTTGCTTACGTTTTTTAAAAAAGTTTACTAAAAAAGTTCTAAAAGTTTGAAAACTGACCCTAGGGTCAATGCAATAAATAATATAAAAATCGGTACACTGTTCGGCCAGATTTTGTGGCTCTCTTCACACTGAAGTTACTACCGAGTCTAGGCCATTTTGATTCGCAACTTCAGACCACTTGGATGTACAGTCGCCCAGGCAGCTTCTTTCACCACACAACCAGGAACCTCACTAAAAGAGAAATTCTTTACCAACGTTGCTAAAACCACTTTCATCTCCATCATAGCAAACTTGTTACCAATACACATGCGCGGACCACACCCAAACGGAATAAGCGAGAAGGTCTGGATACTAGATTGGACACCTGACGTGGAAAATAGACAAAATTAAAACAACAGAGTTTCCTTATAGACGTAAATGGGTGGTATCGCGATATTAGGGAGTTTAAGCAAAAGGGAAGATGAACCATTTTTATGCTGTAGCTAGAGCTGGAAGATACTTCTCTTGAAAAACGTTTTGCAGCACATCAAGAACTCGTTTTAAACGTGTCTGCACCTCCCAGATCGAATTGGTATTTGAAAGTGTTTGCTTTTAAGGTGAGAGGAAAAACCAGAGTACCCGGAGGAAAAGCTCTCGGACTAGAGGAGAGAACCAACAGCAAACTCAAACCACATATGGCGGCGACGCCGGGACTGAATCTGAGCCACATTGGTTGGAGGCGAGTGCTCTCACCACTGCGCCATCTCTTGCTCCCTATTATCCACTCACTGTGATAAAGCTTAATACTTTCATTCCCCTGGTGACACCGGGCCATAGTTTATTCGAAAACCTTCTTTCTTTATAACAAACTCATCCAGTCAAGTACAAGTATCATATAAAAGTCTTATGGTCGCTCTCGGATGGTGCCGGGAGTTGAACCGGGCTACGTCACGCAATTTGGTATCTTTTCAAAAAGCTTAAACCTTTTTCGCATCAATTAAATTCCAAAACTTATGTTCCAGTTTTGTTACGTAACACTATCATTTAGGCATTGAAACTGTTTCCTGTCGTCTGTCGCAACAGATGGTGAGGATGGACATGGATTGAAACTTGAAACAGTTGGGTCAACTTCTAATAGACCTTGTCACGGTTTTCGATGCCATCTTGACGAGGAATTACAGTGATTGTATGAGAATCTAATGTTGAATAATTTCCGTAGAACGGCTGTTCTGAAAAAAAATATGATTTGTAGACTAAAGCTTCACTCCTAAGGATTCTCCTGAAAAAATTTGAGGGCGTTACATGCACTACAAGATCTAGAACCACTTTTTAAAATTTTCTGTACATTTGTCTGTAAGAAAGTCCCGGGAAAATTACAGACAAATGTATGGAAAATCTAAAGAAAGCCTCTGGAGAAACCCAATTTTTTTAGGACAATCCTTTGCTTTGTAGCGTTAGTTTACAATTGATAGTTTGTTCAGAACAGCCGTTTTACGGAAATGATTCGACATTAGATTCTCATACAAACACTGTAATTTCTCACGCTTTTGCCTACTAGTCAAGATGGCGTCGAAAACCGTGACAAGGTCTATACTATGCCCGCAAAAATCACCATTATGACTAGTGCTTTCTGATGAAATTTCCTTGATATCTTCTTCATAATTCTACAGGAGTATCAGCCTAGGCCCTAGGCGTTCTCTCTTGACCCGTTGTCCGCGCGAAATCTGGGAAAGACTCTCGGTGACGTCACAGCTCACGGTAGAGTCCAGGATTGACCGCGCCGAGAACGCCTAGGGACTTCTAGGGACTAGGCTGCAGGAGTATGTTGTGTATTAATGTTGTGTATGGGTAAAGGCACTAAGTAATGACTTCAGAACAGAATTGACCTCAAACAGTAACAGGGGCGGATCTAGGGGGAGGGTGCAGGGGGTGCGCACCCCCCCCCCCCCAGATGAACTGCGGTTTTCTAATACAACTGGTATTCTGCAAAAAAAAAAATATGTGGTTTATTGGTGTTGAAGTAGAGCAAGAGACGAGTGCACCCCCTCCTAAAAAAAATCCTGCATCCGCCCCTGAGTAATATCCTCCTGTCATAGCCCCTCTTAAAAAGTGGAGCTGGTAAGGGTAGGAAACAAGCTACTTTATTTACACTTCATAATGAACAAACCTGGAGAATAAGTGCACTGACACGTAGCATTCACTCCAAAAGTACTCTCAGTACTATCATAAGCCACTATCACAGTACAAAGAATTCAGTAACGATGTAGAGCTTGGGGGATATGTACTGTAAAACGTTACTTCTGACTGAATAAAGCTGGACCGGCTACCATGATCAATTTTGCTACGATCATACCAATGAATGTGTGCTTTACGCTGAATGCGATTCAACCCTTAAAGCGCAGGAAAGCTTTAGTGAAATTATTTTAGAACAGGGACCGCGGAGCAAGGTGAAAAGTGGGAGGGCTGACAAATTGAAAATACTTTTTCAATAAACGACCAACATACACGGTCAGTTCAGATTCAATGCAAGAAAAGACGCGATTACAATTTTAGTATAGAAAATACTACACTGAAGTGATCTCAAAAATTTCTAACTATGGCCGTTTAGTGTTCACCGTTCAAGTAATGTAATTCTTCTTGCCATCGAATATTTCATTGATTCGAAAGGAGAAAGACAAAATATAAAACTTTTATCAACTCAAAACAACTACTCAGCTTCGTTTGGCCTGAAAAAGCTAGTAATTTTCTTTATTTCGTCTGATAAATCTGACCAAAAAAAAACTCTGCCGGAGCTGGAAGTACAAAACACGCTGCCGAACGAAGCGAAGGGGTGGCCAAGGCATGGCGTTTGATCAAGGGGCAAGTCGGCCCCAGGGCACAATTACCGCGAAAAGCACAGGAGCCCCACAAAATGCCTGGCGTTTGAAATTAAAGAAAATACAGAGAATATAGCGGAATATAGACGGAAAAAAACTTGTACTATTATTATTTTTCTTTTTAGCGCTAGAAGTGGGGGCGGGGGCGCAAAAAAGTGGTGGGGCCGCGGCCCTACCAGCCCCTCCCCCTCCGCGGTCCCTGTAGAATGAAAGCTTCTGTTGGTAAAAAAAATCATACACTGAACATCTTCCAGCTCCGCCCAATGGAAACTTGTGGTTCCATGCTGAGCGTTTCAAATCAAGCTATTGCTCACCTCCTTGTTCAAATCGTCCTGGATCAAATATGTCCGGGTTTGACCAGAATTGAGGTGAACGCCCAATCGCATCAATGGGAAATAGAATTTGTGTTCCTTTGGGTATAAAATACCCTGCTATTTCAACATCTGATATGGAGACGCGATTTGTGACAGGAGCAGGTGAGTGTAAGCGCAGAGACTCTTTCAGAACATCTTCCAAGAACTGTAACTTCTCGAGTTTTTCCCATGTAATTTTGTCATCATCTAGGAAGAGTGCCTTAACCTCTGATCTTAGCCGTTCTTGAATGTGTGGGTTTTTGGCAAGTTCATACAGCGTCCAAGCCATGGCCACGCTAGTTGTGTCATTTCCCGCTAAAAGAAAAGTGAAAACCTGCCAAAATAAATCATAAAGTAATTAGACAAAAGGCTGAAATAAAAGGCCCTAAAATCGCTCTGACAAAGGCCTATTGCTCGAAACATCAGGTTTTCTTTTTTTTTTTACGGTGGTAAAAAATGACTTTATCAACTTAAAAAACCAAATCTTTATGTTTCACCCCCTTACCGACGCAACTCGGCACCACAGTTAAGTTTCTTTCAAAGCTACTGCATGAGTCCCTCCATGACCCAATAGAATTTGCCAACAAAACAAAACGAAACCAAAAAATAAGAAAAAGGTCTTCGTTCTTTCAAAGGCTCTAGAAGCGCTTTCCGATTTACAAAAAAAGTAATAATAATAATAATAATAATAATAATAATAATAATAATAATAATAATAATAATAATAATAATAATAACAATCCTGGAGATATGAAAAGGTTATTAGTACTCTGAAATTTTCCAACCTAAGCAGAACCCAGTCACTTCCTGTTCCTTGGAGATTCAGAAAAATACCCATTGCTTAAGCGTTATTAGAGTTTTTTTTATTCCTCATTATCACCTATTCGTAAAGTCATTATACTTCCATGTATACCTGGGCCCTTAATTCTTCATCGTCCATTCTTGAGTCAGTTTCTTCGTCATACATCTCCATTAACAAGTCAAGAAGATCTTTCTTCAATGGCGCATAATTTCCTTCTCTTTTCTGTTTGCGCCTGTCGAGGATAACCTGTTTAATTTGAGTTCAGGGATTAGTTTGTAAAACACTAACAGTGCCGCGTCGTTGGGGCAGAGAATCTAAAAATCACTGAAGTATCGAGAAGTAAACAGGCCAACGGACTTTGTTTCTATGGGCTAACTTCTTCCTGGAAAGAAGAGAGTCCGGAAGAGTCCATTGGAACGAGGTTGAGGCTTCTCTCTTGCGAAACAACTGCAATAGGTGACCTGTTGATGGTCTATTCATGACCATTCACAAGCATAGCTAGGAAAATTTCAAGTTCTCCTGCGGTTTATTTTCAAAAGCAAGTACAAAGCAGCTTGAAGGAGAATATAGCAATTTATCATGAGTGAATTAAGGCTTATTTCTGCACACTTGGACTGATACTGAATAGAAGTTAACAGGCCATTTCCAAGTTACAAAATCTCACTTTCAAATTGAGGCTAAGTGCAAAACCTTTGTTGAAAAGGGGCTTTATTTGCATGAAAATAAAAAATCATATTCATATTAATGGTTTCTCACTTTGAACTGAGACAACGACGGAAACGGCTCCCTTTCATTAATTAATTCAATCCACATAACATTATTACTAATCCGTTTAACTACACTATGTACCTCCATTACAATGTTATCAGAGATTTCCCTCGCTGACTGAATTCTCCTGTTTTCTTTTAAGGGCAGGTAATCAAAGAATGGAATCATCAACTTCAGGATTAAATACTTGAATTCAAATCCTTGAATTACAGTGTTGAAAGCCTCAGAAATCTTGCTGTCTCCTCCAAGTACAGAGTTGAATTTGTAGCTGAAAGCACTTTCTCCAATCACATCAAGAGTAAGATGGCTTAGCTCTTTAGTAACTTCTGTTTCCATGAATCCCTCCGGTGATTTCAAATCTTTTAACTGGCCAGACCAAAGCTGTGTATCACAGTAGAAAACATAAATTAATCAACTCCAAGTTAAAGGAATTAACAGAATTAACTACGACAACATTTTATTTTACTGCTCTCCCCAATTCCAAGCATCTAAAAATAATAAAACTTTTTTGTATTTTATTGATGTTTATCGCAAATTCTTACAAGGAATTTAAACACGTTAACTGTACTACATTAACTATACACATTAACAATACTCAAAAGGGTAAAGAAAGGACCAGAAAACCAAAAAATAATAAAACAAAATAATTTCACCATTCACAGACTAATGCTAATACAAGTAAAAAGAAAAACACTACTCACTCCAGACAATTTATAAAACTGGTAATATTCCAAAGGTTAGCGGGTGCGGGCAAATTTCAGGCTTCTGACTGAAGGTCAAAACACTTTTGCTCCATTGTTGGTGTGCCTTTTGCAAAAGTTTCCATGTGAATCGATAGAAGGTCCAGTGCACATGATCAGATTACGAGTGATCACTGGACGGCACAAATGTGTGTAATCAGACTGCGTTCTATGCATTCCAGTCATTTTTAGTGAATCCACATGAACGATGGATACTTACGTAACAAACATGCATAATAGCAGATGGAGATTAGGATTGCACGCTCCTCTTGTTGCCCCCAATAAACAAGGTTATCTTTCCCTTAAACTTGTTTTTTTTATGTAAATTTATTGCTTGATTACCTGTAGAAGCTTCTCTGCATTTTCCTTGAAAACGTCCAGAAATCCTCTCAAATTTGAAGAGTTAAACACAGGGCCAATCATTCTTTTTTGACGTGCATGTTCTTTTCCATTAACTGCAAACAACGCCTTTTCTATACTAGGAATGACCTTAGTTACAAAGTCAGAACGGGCAAACTTTTGACAGTTTGTAACAGCTACAGATCTGATAATCTCTGGATCAACAATCATGACTCGATAGCCACCTAAACAACACACAAAAATAGCAAAAAAAGAAAAAGCAAAATTATGGTGGTTTTTACAGAATAACACAGGTACTGTAATATTAGAAAACAACAAAAAAAATCATTACTATACATTTTTTCTCTTTAAACTATCATGATAAAGAAACAATGTATAAAGTATGTCAAACACCCTTAAACATAACAGAGTGCATTGGGACCAAAGGGATGGACCCAGGTCACTACAATCCATGAAGCGAAGGACATGCATAACTTTAAATAGCACATAACAAAAACGGGAGGGGGGCCAGGGGGGTGGGGGGGGGGGGGTGAGAGTAATATGGAAAAGAAGCAGGAAACGCCGGCTCTTCCTCTTCCCAGTCCCCTCTCTATTTCATTTTAAAATTGTCCCTTCTCCTCCTCTGTTTTTTGCATGCGTAAGGCCCTGTTAAGAAAAAACTCTTACAAGTGACATGGCCTTAAAACACCGACACAAGATGAAATGGTGACAAACAACATAAAGATGGGTTAAAACCCAACAGAGACATGGCTATACTCCTCAAAACATGAAAAGTCTGAATTTGAAATTCACACTAGGTAAGTATATATCCCCCCTAAGAGCACCTTATGGGTGCAAGCAGGAGTCAAGTTAGTTACTTGACTGACAGTCACTGATAGGAATTTGAGTAGCACTATTAACGGAGTGAAACATGAAGGTCCTTAGGGTTACCATGCATGAGCACAATTTTTGCTCTCATAAATTTGAAGACAGTATAAGCATTGAGGTTTCATTATTTTACTCTTTTGCTTTTTTTTCATCATTTATTTTATGCCCATAGCCATCCCCCCTCACCTGTACCTGTCACCTCAGAAGAGTGGTGCCAGCTGGGATCTGAATCCCTAACCTTCCTACGGTTGAACAGGCTTCTGTTGTTCAAATGCTGGATAGTGCTAATCCACCAGGCCCGGGTTGTTCAAACGTTGGATAGTGCTACCCACTGGATAAATCACTATACAGCGGATAAGTATTAGGAAACCAATTGCGTTTTTTAGTGGATAGAGATTTATCCAGTGGATAGTGTTATCCAGCTTTGGAACAACTGGGGCCAGATGTATCACTATCTAGAAGATACGTACAGTGTGAGGGAAACCTTAATGCAACATCCAATGGATAGAGATTTATCCAGCAGATAACATTATCCCGTTTTTGAACAACTGGGGCCAGAGTTATGGAAGAAAATAATGGGAGACAAGTTAATGAGACAAGGCTCACAATGGGCATGCATCCTGCATGCAGTTTAATTGCAACAACACCCCACTACCCCCTGTGGACCACCCTTTATTTTATGAAGATAAATTTTACCAGAGGTCTAAATAAGTGTTTACGAACCTTAAATGAACAAATTAACTTCCATCAGTTTACAATATCATTGGGTTATGGGCTCCTCATATTATATACTGTTCAATTTTTTTTAAATTCCATACATGGATTGACAAGTTAAGTCTGGTGAAGTAGTGACATTCTTTGAAGAGGATGGGAGGAGGGGTATGACGGAAGCAGTCTCCTACATCAACAAGTTTTTGTGTTGTTGCTTTTGTGTACCCTCCCAAGTCTTCCCTTCCTTTGATAACCCATGGAAACGTTTATTCATCTGCACACTTTTAGAATCCTGCTTATGCATCAAGCAAAAAAATTACCTTCATATACAGCTATTTCGAGAAAGGCTGTCGGAAAAAGTGCATGCGACAATCCTGAAAGGCATTGTGGGTGGTTTTAAGTTCACTGTTCTTTATAGAAATTTGAAAGAATTGGTACGAAAGGCCGTGGAAATGTGTTTGCAAGTGCTAAAGGAAAGCAACAAAAGGAGGTTTGACAGGTACAGTCATCAGAAACAGTGTATTGATCATATCCCATACTACCTTTCGGAATTGTTGTGTGCACATTTTTCCGACAACCTTTCTCGAAATAGCTGTAACTGTTATGTCTGCAAAGACGTCTGACCAACCACCACATTGTTTGAAAATATGCTGGCCATTTTGTGCTTGATCCACACAAAAAGCAGGATTCAACAGGTTTGCTGATCAATAAACATTTCCAAGGGCTATCAAGGGAAGGAAAGCTTGGGGAGTGTACTCTAATTCTACTTTTAATATTTTCATTGTTAGCAAGAGTGAGTACAAATAAAGACCGTATTAGACATTATTAGACATGTACTTCCTCCCTAGTCTCCAACGCAGCCGTATTGTGTCATCATGCAACACGATGACACAAAAAAAGCTGTGTGGGAAGACTACTTCCTCCCTGCCTCTCCTAATTTTCCTGTCAAATATTGTTGCTCCTTCACCAGACTAAACCAAACTCATTACATTAGTTAAAAATTTGAACAAGTGTATAATATGGGGAGTCCATAATCCTGTGGTAATACCTATAATTTATTGACACAGTTTCTTGACTATTTAATTCATCTTCAAAAATAAGGGTGGTCCATAGAGGTAGTTCATGCCCAGGTCCACAAAGGGATCCATGGACTACAATCGTGGACAAAAGTCTTGGGACAATTTTGCATTTCTGGGGCATTTTCCAATTAACACAGGCCCAGCCCCTCCCCTCACCCCTCAAACAATGTTGGATGCACGTATCCAGAATTTTTTCAGAGTTTCAACTTTGTATAGGGTGGGGGAAGGAGAACTGCAAGAAGAAAATTTTGAAAAGGATGCATTGTTTTAAGAGGGAACCGAGAAATAACAGAAAAATATGAATATTGCAGCACTGTCCCAAGGACTTTTGTCCAGGATTGTAGGTCCACAGGGGTGGTCCATGGACCAGGGGAGTCCATGTTTTGTATACGTCCGCCTGTCCATGTGCATATTAATTTTATGAAAAGTCAAAAGGCAAATTCCCTTGAAAATGTTGAACTGGGTAAACATTAACATACAAGCTTAAAAGGACTTTTTAACACGAGTATTAAAGTTGTCATTCATTATTAGTGTTTGTAATATTATTTCTACTTCTGGCTCACCAATCCCTATTCCCAATCCGGGGTGAATAACAAACATGGGAGCATACTGGTTAGTCCATGATCGCAGCGCTTGAAGGAAATTGTCACGCCGCAGAACTTCGAAAACATGGCCAATCAAAGGCAAGGCACCTGGTGGACTAGGTATCTTTTGTAAAGGAGACAATCGTTCTTCTACAAACTTGAACACGAGCCAGAAGGCTGGTAGCAAAAATGTCGACAGGAGTAAGAATTTGAGGCTGCAAAAGTCGTTTAAGGTCCCTAAGGCGTCAATGATCATTTTCCCAAACTATGGCAATCTAACCACTGGGTATAACCACTTGTCAGAAGACTAGCCAGCTCATAGTGGAATTACTTGTTATTTGTAGCGCTTTATAGGCTACATTACGTACGCGTTTCTGATGCAACTCCAATCATTTTTTCCAGGCTGATGCAACGTGAAAACCTTCAAGGGAATAAAAATTGGCCTTTTTGTAATTCCTCGGGTTTTCATCGCTGATGCAATTTCATGTAACTCCGATTGTTGTTGCTTCACCCATGCAGCTGCCGAAAAATACTTCGATCCAGAAAGACTGGGAAAGAATGTGGGAAAAACGTCAGGATAGGGGTAGGGTTAGGAGCAAAGTTGGGAGTAGGGGGCTTTTTGTTGATTCTATTGTATCATTATTTTTAACACTGACCATTATAACATTTATTATTAAAAACGTGGTTGATTCGTAGTTCAATTCGGAGTTCAGTTTGACAAAATATTATATTATTCTACAGGTGTCTCACAAATCCCCGCACAAATCGCTCTCTTAGTCTACCACCCCTCCCACGAAAAGAACAGCGAAAAGAAAATGGCGGCAGAGTTTGCGTGACTTTTCTCACATTCAAACATTTGCGTTGTTTTCTTGTCCCTGGAATCATTTTTTTAGACATCTGAAATGTTCTTCCTCATATTAGTAGTTCTTGGTATAATATGGGTTCTATACAGGACATTTAAGGATGAGTTTTCGCCATTGCGAAAAATTCCTTATGCTAGTAGTCATGTTCCAATTTTGGGTCATGCATTGGTTTTTCTTAGAGAGAGAAACCACTTGAAGGTACTAAGGGACTGGAGTGAGAAGCATGGACCGATTTTTCGCTACAATCGTGGTTTTGGTAAGCTCAATCAGCTGCTCAATATCCAAGTACTGCACACACTCTTAAACTGTATTTTTTAGGCGAGAAATGGGAAAGAGGCGACTGACATTCCAGGGGGTGGGAAATTTGACCTTTTCTCGGGAGCCAAGTTTAATTTCTTCTTACGATCTTTCCTTTTTTCCAGCTGCATCCGTGAACCACCCCCCTTCCTGCCCCCCTTCCCACGGGCTGACCCTCCCAGGCATTGGAATTTTTTTCTTAGATGGCAAATTCCTGCGGTCAGGGACACATGAACAGTCAAATACCATTCAGTGGGGGCGACAGTAGGAGGGTTAATGACCCACCCCCAGGATTGTCTTCAATTAATTCACTGGACTGAAGCAGTCCTTATTCATTGCACTGTTGAGAAAATCTGTTGCTCTGGTAGGGTATTTGATGACAATAGTAAGATAGGAATTTCATCAGGTCTGCCATAAAAAGTTCAGTTGCCATGCAAGGGAGGTGGTTGAAGTTTCAAATTTAATGGTGTATTTTTTTTATGTGTTTCTCCACTAAGCTGCTGTTTTATTAGTTTCTGCAAATAATATTCCAGATTATAGTTGTATTGACATTAATATCATTATAGAAGTGGTAAATAGAGCATGTACACTCTGATCAATATGAGTTCACAGCACCCAGCAGCTGTTCAGTGTTCTCAAAAGGGCAACTTAAATTAATCAGGGGCACCCAACGAGAAGATAGTTCAAACCACTTAAACATAGCATTGTTAAACGTATTTTAGTATTTATTATAAACGGTGGATATTGTTATGAAGCAAGAGTCTAGCGTGATTGTGAGATGGCGTGATTTTATTCCTTTTAGATTTTGTTATTAATATAGTTTCACTCATCTGTCAGAGTGACAGAGAACTTGATAACAGATCGGATTAAAAACTAAAGCTTATATAGATTCAAGAAAGTCACGATTTTGTGTAGTGTGTGAGCGAGCCATTGTACTGTGAGGATCAAAGCTGTGAAATAAACCCTGTTTTGCTTTAAACTGTGATATCGTGAAGAATGGCCCTCGGCATTCACGACAATATAGGCATATTTTTATCCCCTAAAAATTTTTGATTTGTTGGGATTTCTTAGCGGAAAGTCTGGTGATCTGAAAATTATAGGGATCTAAACTTACCTCTTTGAAAATTTCAGCCAGAAAAAAGGCTCCCGAAAATTCTAGGTGACCTTTTTAGGGTAAAAATCCGTTAAAAATAGGCAATTATACCATTTTTTAGATGTTCCAAAATCCTAGGAGAGGCAGGCAAGCAAGAAATTTTACAACAAATGTTCCGAAAATTCTCGATCTCAAATCGTCTTTCGAACAGATATTTTCTGAAAACTGTCATTGGGTGCCCCTGATTAATTAAAATTGGTAGTTACTGGTAAAATCTTCTCTCAAGTTAGATCTAACAGCTGGTACAATAATTGAACATTACAATCAGTCTACGCCCAATTTCAGGACAAAAGGGCTGAAGGAATTAATGATTTGCAGCTGTTTTCTGAATTTGTGGTGACCTACCCTAAATGAGGAGAATTTATGGCTGCAGTTACACTCAATTTCAGTTCACACTTGGTACTAATGTACTTTCATTTATTTAAATGACCCCCCATGTAATGCTCCCTTATCTAAAATTGTCCACCAAAACCAATCAAGATTTTGAAAATGACCCCCCAGCAAACTGGCAGCCACCTCTCACAGGTAATTATTAAATGACCAGCCCCTTAAGATATTTACAAGAGTATTAATTACTATTGATTATATCTGCTTTTGTTATCCCTTTTTTTTGGACAGGGGACACCAGAGTCTTTTTGGCAGACCCTGATCTTATAAAACATGTTACTGTTACAAATTCCAAGAACTATTTGCGTTCACGATTTATACGCAAAGTTATGCCCAGCATTGGAAATGGTTTGTTTTCTTCCAATGGCAAGGACCATACTCTTCAGCGCAAAATGATCATCCCTGCATTTCATTACAGCAACTTAGGTCGGATGGTGAATGATTTTTGTGAAGTTTCAAATAGTCTGATCACTGTGAGTATTTCTGTTTTAATCATGAATAAGATGTTGAATTATATTAAGTCTTGGGACAAAATTGAAATTTGTGTCACTTTTTAATTGCTGCAAAGAAACCAATGAAATGACTGAGAACTTCATATGCCTAACCCCTCATGCAATGTTGAACACATGTAGATGTACTGGCAATTTTGCCGAAATTGCATGGGATAAAGAAAGTGCATAATTTTGCAGTCGTTGTTTTGAAATAATAATATCTTGTGTGGTTACTGTAAATCCTCTATTCAGTCTCCCTTCTCAATTAAGCCCCCTCCCTCTCTCCCTCTTCCCCCCCTAGTTTCATGGGAAGAAAGTTTAAGCCCCTTCCCCTTCTCCCTTATTCTTCAAGACTAAATACAGTAAAACCCTACGTATAAGAACCTAAAATTTAAGAACCTGTGAGGCTGAAATTTTCATTTTAAGCACCCTTCACGTAAGAACCATTTCAGGCTGAAGTTTTGAAGTAGGTTCTTAATTTCCAAAGTACAATAGAAATCAATAACATGTGCATAACTTAGCACTATCTTGTATGATTTATGTGCCTTTAATGATATGCTTGCACTCTACTATATTCCATGTAACTAGCATCAAAATGTGTGAATAATTTAATAAAAAAGGCCACGCCCACCAACACAATTTATCATTTGGCCGGTTGATGAAAAAGAGGCTTATTCCATTTTATGATTCTCTCCCACTGGATGACAATATAAAGGAACAGAAATCTTTTGAAAAGACTGATGAAACTGTTCTTAAGGTAAATAATACAACAGTTTTTTTCTATCATTTTAATTTTACCGTCATAATTTTATCTTTGTTTTTTCCTGCTAGCAGTCAGCTCTCTCACACAGAGAACAAAATGATAGGAAAGCGAGAGAACTCTGCCACCGCTCATTGCATTTTACTATCATGTGAACACTAGTGTTTCCTTAATGACCACTAGCATTTTAGTCATGAGTGCAACACAACGTAACTACAAAGTACTGTCAACTACTCTCCCGGATAATCCGGGAGACTTCAGATTTTGGACCGTATCTTCCAGTCTCCAGATTAGAGTCTGAAATCTCCCGGGTAATCGCCAAAGCTGCCATTTCTTGTAGACTCGACTTTCCGACAATGAAATTTCAAATATTTTGCCTTGTTTGATCCAGTTATTTTACTGTTAACATCTAATGTTTCCTCATAAACTCCCGTATGCCATTATATTAAAGAAAACCAATCAGGACAAATGTTACTATGGTAATAACATATTTTTTGCGCGTTTTGTGTCACTGCAAATATTTGTGACTATCAGAGTCAACGAGAATTTTTTTGTGCAAATGACGTCATGTACTGTGTGTTATGATGCCTTCTATCTTTTGTTCCCTATCAATTCTCAATATCAGAAAACATGGGTTGTTGACAGCCCTGATTACAGAACCGGTTTGCGAGATAACAACCACGGACTTAGAGAATCTGAGTACTCTCGAAAAGAGTGAAACCCATGACGTTCTGGTTACTAGTCCTGATGCTCTACCACTGAGCTACAGGATACTCGAGGGATTTAAGGTCATTAGACTACAATGATGGACAAAAGTGATGTTGAGACACTTCTATGAAATGGCCCCTTTGACACAATTTCGTCCTTTTAAGTTTCCTAAAATTCGTTTAGACCTGTGATAAAAATCCATCTTTAAAAATTAGGGGTGGTCCACAAAGAGGTCCATGGACTAGGTCCATAGAGGTACCTCCACTAAAGAGTTATAAATGAGTAAACTTATCATAAACAATTGATTCAGCTTGCTTGCATTGGAAACTATGATTTTCACTTCTGCCGAATCTCATTGGGAAAAGGAGAAAGGGAGGAGGCTAATTTGGCACAATTTCGGTAGCGTTTCACGTTTGAAACTCGACTTGGCGGGTGCCAATGAAATTTATTTCGAAAGTAAACGGAAAAGCAAGTAAAGACTTATGCAGATAACGCCAGTCGCTAGCCGTTCGCAAGTGTTTCATTCGAGGCCCAGTTTTCAATGCATTATTCAGGATTACTGGGTTTTAAACCTTGAAGGCAATGAAAGACCATGAAATCGATAATGTTGATAAAATCGATAAAATCAATAGCGCTGACAACGCAAAAAGTTGTTACGATCGATTTTTATGGATACAATCGATATGAATGAAAACGTGATTATCGACAATT